ATAATTTCAAAGAGAAAAGCTTTTCCACAGCCAGAGACTATACCCTTAATTTTGACCAGCTGTCATACAAATGCATGGGTACCAAGCCATGGAATACAAATGGTGTGGCTCAACCCCAGCCCCACACAAAGCAATGCTAATGGTGTATATCTTTGAATGCCCTGAACTATATACTCCCTTCTTTAATTGGAAAGGCTGTTTCAATAGGCCTGGCAAAAGGAGGTTGGTCAAGATTTAGAAGCCTATAGATTCTTATTTGCTCCTTCTGGTTTAATAAAGGGCAACTAAAAACTGACCTACTCCCTTGTTCTCACATCCAAGAGAGTGAGAAAATGTAAAGATGAGAACTGTCAGCTGGTCATTCCTCACAAAGAAACCCAGCAATCTGCTTGCATGAGGCATGTGCTCCTTTGGTTCAATGACCTTTGTGTATTTGGTCATGTCTGAACTTCCGTTCCATTCCTGAGGGGTTGAAATCCAGCTTAAAACAAAATAAAGCAAAACAAAGAAGCTGGCTATTCTTTCTTTAAGTACTGGAATCTTCTATCTTTGGGGGCAAACAAAAACTCTTTAGGGAAGATAAAGAACACTAAATGTTCTTTGGTCACTACTTAAATTTAAGGTTTAGCTTTCCTGAATAGCACCAAATCCTTGCTCATTATAACCTGGACTATGAGTCTGTTAAAATTAGAAGAAGTCATTTGCTTTAACAAAATCCCCTTGTTTTATGGACAAGGACATTTTGACCCAGGAAGTTTAAATGCCTGCCAAAGTCATACAGCTAATGAGTGACAGGTCTGGGAGCAGTTTTCTGAGCACTATATTTCAAATGAAAGAAGCCTGAGTTAATAATAATACCTAGATCTAGGAAGGTTATTACAATCAATAACCATGAATTTCATTGCAAAGTTTCACTTAAACTCTATAAAAGCAGTATGTTTTAACACATGAAGAATGGCCTTATTTTATTCAGACCTGTTCTTAATAACTATGCATTGGAAGCATGTTTTACAAAACCTATAAATCTGGAATAGCTGAAAGGATATCCAACTTTCTTTTCTAATTGATTTACTTCTCCTTTTTCCCAGACCACTGAGGTAAAGCATATACAGTTTATTTAAGGGACTGTTTATAGACTCTTAAAACTAAAAAGGACCCCAGAAACTTCCTTTCTTTTGGTTGCTCTTAATTGAAACCATCCAAGATGGTTGGTTGTCTGTCAAATTTTTAAGTATCTCCAAAGAGAGAAATTCCACAAACCCCTAAAGTACATGTTAAAATGTTTAATCACCATGACTGTCAAAAAATTATATCTATGGCAAGCTTAACTTCTTCTTTTTCACTTGAAGCTCTGTTCCTCTTGCTATGTTTCATGCAAAATGAGGTTATAACAAGCCCTCCTCTATGAGGGCTCCATCAATCTGGTGAGATAATAGCTAGCTCTTTCCCAATGTGCCACTTCATTACGCCACCATTTTTCTCACAGGACTGTGAGAGCACAAGACTGGCTGATACCTTCTCTTACTATGATGCATAGGGAAGAATTAGTAATTAGCTCTTCATTGGAACTTTCATTTCGTAAAATGTCTGGGGAAGCTGCATTAATTATAGAGGAACTGTTCTACTTATGCTAGAAAAATTGTTCACAAAACAGATAATCTAGAAGGTTGCCTCCACTATGTTGTAGTGGAACTTGTGCTTATAGAGAAATAGGAGCTCATTCACACACTGGGTCAGTCTATACAAAGTAAACATTAATTTTTTAAAATTCAGAACTGTTCTGTTTCTAATAGTTTAAAAAAAAACTCCCCTTGTTAAACACTCTGACCTGACCAAAAAAAAAATAAATATTGAGGCAATTTTCTTTTAGATATTTGAATTTTAAACAAAGATCAGAAACTGCTTTCCACTCTTAAAAAAAGAAAACAACGAAACTATATTTTCAAAATGGATTTGAAGCAGCTTAAAATAAAAGGCACAACCACAATAAAACTTTGAAGGTAAGGGTAAAAACAATGAAAAGAGTCAACTGACAGGGAATAGAAACTGACAGGGAATAGAAAGATAATTGAGATACTTTCCTCTAAAAAGTATCTCAAGGACCCATAAATGCTTAGAGCTGACTTCTCCACAAACACTAAATCTCAGGGGACAAAAAGGAAACTCAATAAAATTTGTTGACAACAGTTAATGCTTGTTAGAATAATTGGCTCAGACACAAAACAGACCATCAATGTAGGCTTAAGGATTATGACCAAAATGCAGACTCTAAGTCATTGTTAGTATCCACCATATTCAGATGAATAAAAGAAAAACAATTTTATCCAACAGCTGGGTAAGTAGGAGGCAGGAATTATCCAAAGTACTTGACAAACCTAAATCTTTATGGTTCTGAAGACTAAGATCCCAAATAACTAATTCTATTCTATTCAACTGGATTCAGTTGGATACAATTTAATTCAAGCTTGTCAGTCCAGTGATCAGATATGAGACTCTACTATCTCAGCCAGGCATTGAGCTAGATACTGGGATTCCATGGTAAAGAGTCCATGGCATCAAAAAGCCCATTGAGAGGGTAGATCCTGGTTAGGTGATTTCAAATGGGACAAAATATTCAGGAAAAGGGCAAAGAACTATAATCTATTCTCCTATGATTATTTTTCTCTCATGACACTTAAAAATACTTATGTGTATTTTTTTAATCTCCTAACTAGACTATGAGTTCTTTGAAAGCAAAGTCAATTTCTCATTCATTTCTAGGCATCTCATTCATGCCTAGTACAATGTCTGACATGTAGCAGATGCTACACTGATGTTTTGAATTAAAAAATTTAAAGGGGTTAACTTCTTTTGGGCAGAAAGGATTGTCCAGTTCACTAGAAAGTTAAAAAGAATACTTTTGGTCTATGTCAGACAATAGTCATGGAATTCTATAAGGCAGAATTTATGAAACATGGTCTCAGTGACAATACTGACAACAATCACAACAATCTATGAAACCATTTTCGATCCAATGTCATACTCTGAACATCAAAAGCTGCTGTATATAACCTTTCCCTTTCAAGTTATTCGAATGGAATCGAAAAATATTTGCTAAAATTTGATCATTGTAGTAACAATGAAAGAACCTTTTTGGTGCCTTGCTATTGGTTTTCATCCTAGTTGTCCAATACTCTTAACCATCTGTGTGCACATATATCAGTATTATATGGTTACTTGAGACCAAATCATTATTTACATTCCCATTTTTCATTATCTAATGCAAACATCACAGGCACAGAATGTCTAGTTTTCTTGCACTCTACATGGAAATCCTGGAACACATCAAGTTGAACAAGACAATTCATCCTGGCACATAACAGAAGACAATTGTGGGCTTGGCAGTTACCTTGATCCTTGGATCAAAGGAAATTGCAAAAACAGATTATCAAGGCAAAAAAAAAAAATCCTCTTGGACATAATATGTGAGAATAACTTAGTCATTTTTTATATGTGGATCAGTAGCAGCAAAGTAAAGAATAATGACATCTCATCATTGGGTGATGTTGATGTAACACATTTGCCTTTCATTGTATATTTCAAAGGTAAAAGAAGTCTGCTATTTGAAAAGTACTCACCCAGTGAACTTATTCATCTACCCTACAATAGAGAACTGGATAGAATTTCTTTATTGCCAGAAAAATAAATGAATTCACTCTATTAAAGCGTTAGCTGGAAACAGAGAAGAGTGTTTGCCCATTCGGGTAGCACTTCTCATTCTCTGTCACCAGTTGTTTAAAGACTATTTGTTGCCAAATCTATGGTGAGTACAAACCATCAGTCCCCCATTTGCTTCTCCCTTCCCATCTCCCCGACTCATCCCAGTCTGCTCTATACAGCAACCCCCCACACAAGCTCACACTTGTGCATACACTGCACATACGCACAGGCACACACCACCTTCCCTGGGAAGAAGATGAGAAAGACTTGAAGTATGTGAGTCATCAGAGGAGCTATTCAAAACTTAGTGGGCAACTGAGGTAAGCTGTCTACACTCGAGCAATAATGAACCTCTAAGAATGATTCATGCTCACTGAGGACCTGAACATCAGTTTCCTGGAACTCTCTAAAATTCTAAATAATTATATGGAATGAGCAATTGGCTTTAAATCTTTCACAGTCCTATACAATAAGGACAATAAGATATATTATACAATAAGATAGATGCCTCTGAGGTAGATTCTGTAAGTGCTCATTTCCCCCAGACAACATTGACTTATGTTTGTGTTTATTACTTGCAAACATTGACTGGGCTGTCTATTTTTTATTGACTGTCAGCTTTTTAATCACCTGAGATCTACTTATGGGATAAGTAACCCCACACTTGTCAGAAACTCTTTTCCAGATGGAGATATCACAGGAGAGTCCCAGAGAAAAGGAAGGCAATAACAAAACATCAAGGTCAATTTGCATAGAGGACAAATTAATATGGCATTTCACTTTGCATTTAGAGAGTGGCTATGTTTTTGCAAATGTGCCTTTGAGCAAAGTTCACCTTCTGTCCCTGATGCTTTCGTATTGCATGGTGACATCTGGGATTTGCCCCTTAATTCTTTTTCCCAGTCCACCTTACTATTTTACTCTGAATTACCTAGCACTTAAAACAGGCCTCGATGTTTCCATATGTTTATATGGGCACCCACAGATCACAAAAACAAAAACTTCAATTCCCCAGGGTCATTCTGTCCCCTTCCTTTTACTGAAAGGAAAGGAATAGTGAGGGTGGAGTACAATAATTTTGAGAAAGCTCGGCAGGAAGTAGTTAAAAGACAAACTGTTAAGGAGGAAAATTCCATCCTAAATCTGCAAAACCTGTCACAGCCCCGCTGACACACTAGGCTTAGTTTAAGGTGAGGAATCTCAGAGGCCGAGGACGGTGGCCAGCCATGGGCAGTCACTCAGTTATTCACACACTTCCTGCGGTTGTAAATCCACAGAGCAGTGGTGGGGGGGCTACTTACTGAAATAAAAACCCCTGTCTCCACACACGAACTGAAGAGCATCCACCAGTTCAGCCCCACAGAGTGTCTCTGGTCCAGCTGTCGCGGAGCTGGTGAAGGTGAGCAAGCACAGGGCCAGGTAGAAGAGATGAGAGGAGGACATGATGTGCAACTTTACCTGCCAAAAAATAGAAGGATGGTCATGTTTGCTCCTTGGTCCCTGCAAGGGCAGTGGGGGTGAGGCAAAGGTGCATCAGCCCTAGCATTCCATTATTGCCATTAGTTAGAACTACCCCGCACAGAATTGCAATGGAATGCATGACAGACCACAGGGTGGTGTGGACTGAGCATGGCTTGGCATCAAACCACCTTTTTAACCCCCTTTCCACTCTGGACTTCACTGAACCTCTTCTTTACAAGTTCCATCGCAATTCAATGAGATAAAATATCTAGAAACATTCACTATATAAGTGGAAAATGCTATTATCGCAGTAGAATCCTATAGCACTCAGAGATCCTGATAAACCTTCTGAATTATCAAAGGTTAAACTACACTCATTCCAGATTTGGGGCCAAATATATTTTATTAATTTAAATTCTCTAAAGATTGTCATCCACAGATGGCATAGGCATTCATTATGGACCAGAATATTAAGTTAACTAGAACATCGTTTTCTAGCTACTGATTAAAGATAATTCACTGTGGATAAAAAAGTCTTTGTGAAAATGTTATATGTCATTATAGGTTTTTTTTTTTTTTTTTAGATTTTATTTATTTATTTGTCAGAGAGAGAGCACAAGCGGGCAGAGTGACAGGCAGAGGCAGAGAGAGAAGCAGGCTCTGTCTTGGACAAGGAGCCTGATGCGGAACTCGATCCCGGGACCCTGGGATCATGACCTCAACCAAAGGCAGCGGCTGAACCAACTGAGCCACCCAGGCGTCCCTACAGGGTTTTGTTTTTGTTTTTGTTTTTTTTCATTTAATGAGAGAGAGAAAGAGAGAAACAGAGACATAGAGGAAGACAGAGAGGCAGAACAACTTCTTACCTGGGGAATATCAGCAGTTAACAAAACCACAAGTGGAAGTGAAAACAAAACAAAACAAAACAAAAAACCAGAAACAGGAAAAATAGGATTTAGGAATCAAATTAGCTCATGCTAAGTAGACCCTACATCTTCTGTATTCTAAAGCCTTCTGTGTCAAGTAAAATATCAAATCAACATATGCAGAGAGATTGCCTTCCATGAACAGGGCATTGGGCTCAAAACCTGCAAAATATTTTTTTTTTCTGTCACAGGAATTCTGACTTTATGTTTTGGAGGGATTTATGTGTCTCTGTAACCATTTTATAGCAGAATATACTGAGGGACCCCCATAATAGCCAAATAGCAGCCCGGCTGAAGGCAGAATTTCTGTGGCTTAAAGTAGTAGAAACAACGTTAAGGTCGCTAAGGTGATCACTAACTTTTCCATATCCCTCCTTGTGGCACAAAGATGTGGCTTCTTCCAGGAAGCCTCCCAAGGTGAGTGGCTTCACTTCCCTCAGATGCATTTACTTTTAGTGGTCTTGGAAGAATCATTGGCTGGATGAAAGCAAGGGACCTTATCAAAAGGGTCATGGAGTTACGCTGGAAGTGATCATTATAAAAAGAGGCTTTTCTGAACCTCACAGTAGTGGCAGGCCCATTCAACTCCAACCCTTTTGGTGAAACAGACTTAGTCATTTGCCTTCCTGGCCCTCCATGAACTCAGAACCTAATGGCTCTCTACATCAGTGGCAGAGTTTGCTCCATCATTTTAATTAAGATTTCCATTTTTGTGGCCAGCTCAGCAACTGGGAAAAAAAAACCAAAAAACAAAACAAAAAAACCTTAAATCCCTGACTCTCATTAACACAACATAAATAGTTAATGCTTGTAAAACAGTTTAAGATGAAAAGTGCCCTCCATTTGCAAACCATCATAAATAATGGACATAAAATAGAAGAGGAGGTAAAAGCTCAACTGAACACTTCCTCCATTTTCTCAAATAGGACCTCTGCATGGAAACCCTCCACCCCCACAGAGCCAAAGCCACCAAGACTGATAGAAACAGATTCTCATCCAATCTGCACTTTTTTTTTAGTTATAAAATAATTGGTGGGGGTTTTCCCCTTCAGTATTTCCAGTGGAAATTGAAACAGTTCCAACCTGTCTGGATTTCATTGCCTTTTTCAAAAGAACAAACTCCGAATTGATCTTATAGAACATATCCCACACTCTGGCAATGGGCCAGTTCTAGAACGCATGCTATTCTGCCAATCTTATTTCTCCATCCCTCCCTTGTTTGTTGAGTTTATAGTAATGCTGAAGGCCAAGCACCTGTAACTGTAGATAGCTTGAAGTTCTTCAGTTCTCATGAAATCCATGGAAAGAGGTAACCTTAGTGAATTAAGAACTCTGTGAGATGTCAGAACTATATTTTACATAGTTATTTCTGGCATAACACATATAAGTTCTCACATATAGACCACTGGCACTTCAAAATATAGATTTATTTTTTATAATTTTTTCTTTTTTCTTTTTCTTTTTCTTTCTATTTTGCTGAGTTATGTTGGTAGATAAATATCAGCACTTACAGTTCTAGGATAAGAGAAAACCTCCACTGCATTTTCCTTTAGTTCAGGGAACAGCCCAGCACACCCACAGAGAACCAGAGAATTTTATTACATTATGTTCCCCCCAAAGAAAGCAATAACAAACTTGCTTAGGGGTTAAAAGTTTGAAACAAGTGGCCCCATATGTCCGTTCTTTTCTTGTTCGTCTATTTTGCCAGGCACAAAAGAAACAAAGAGAGAGAAAGGAAAGATAGAGAGAGAAAGGAAGGAAGAACCAGAAGGAAAAGAGAAAAAAAAAAAAAAAAGAAAAAAAGATTTCAGAGCACTGTTTCTCAAAAATCATTCACAAATTCAAAATTTAAGAGACCTTTCTTTTTTTATCTTAAGTAAATGGAATATCAATTGATTCCAGATGTCTGGTTTACAATGAAAATGCCCAACAAAATTGAAGGGCAATAGCCATAAGAAAATACTCACTGTAGGTGTAACCATTTTTTGTGTGTTCCAGATCTTTTACAGCAGGTCAGGGTGGGTATTATGAAGCTGATGTGAATAGAAAACTGAGGACTTAAAAACATGTGCTGCTTTGTGGGTGGGGTTTGTGAAAGCATCTAGTTACATTTGGAGACCCAGGCAGGTATGCCATTAGCCTGGGTAAACTGCCTTTTGTCCATTCAAACAATGAACAAATTGCACAGCTGGGATTTGAGTCCATCTTTCCCCCCCAATCCCCCCTTTTTACCCCACCCCCCCCACCCCCGCCAGCTCAAGGCACCAATTTACATTGTGTGCTTATTGTAGCTGCTTGGAACAGGGATCCCAAGCTCTAATCTTCTGCCTTACCCCCTTCCCTCTGAACCAAACACTTACAAATATCTTGAGACTCACAGTACAATCAGCTTGTGAGTTCTGCCTCTAGGCAAGACACCTTTACTTAATTGAAAACATTTGAAGGACCATGCAGCTCCCTCATGCCACTTCTTGTTCCAGGTACAGGGGAAAAGCAACAACATTGCTAGTACTATTTCTGAAACTTTCATTTGGAGACAGTTTTCCGAACTTGTAATCAATGCAGAGATAACACTCAACAACACCTTTTATGATCACCTAAGTAGTGAGACAAAAACCTGAGCTGTCAGACTACATATATATATTATATGTATAGTATAGTATATAGTATATATAGAGAATTCATTTCTTTTAAAAAGCAAGATAGTCAGCATGTGTCTTGGCAACTGGAAGTTAGCAGAATCAGGTGCCCGACAAAGATGTATTCTTAACTCCTAAGCCACTTACTTGACTAAGAAAAATCCTAGTGGTGGAGTATTTGAAAGCAGCAAATGAATGCTGTACTAAGTGGCAGGGACGTTTTATGAATTGAGCTCTTAGGCAATTGCACTGAGGAGCCAGTGACAGCGGCTTAAAAATGCTTGCAAACTGGAAAAACACAAGTCTTGAAGGATATAATTTTGCTGAGAATGGAAACTTGAACTAGGGCCAGTGATTGGAAACGAGAAGTTGGCATTAACAGCGGCAGCCAAATTTACCTAAAGAGACTTTACAACACCGAGTATAAAAATCAGAGTTTTACAACACAAAATCCCAAGTCCAAACTTCACCTATGAAAGTCCCCTTCCAAAGAGAAAACTTGGACATGCAGTTGCTAGAAAGTTTCCGCTTTCCATATATACAGCATGCATTTGTTTAAATCATACAAATATGCAGGGTCAGCAGGAGTTGTCAAGTTCTGTTTCAGAAGAGCATATTAAACTTCTCTGTAACTTTGACTCTCTGGGCAAAAGTGCAGAGAGTTCTGGGACCTTAGCTCTAAAGATCATATTTAAAAGCTTTAACATCACCTAAAAGGTAACACTTCGTATGTAGCATGCTTGTAATAAAAAGTCCTGACAACTTAAAACACACACACACATACACACACACACATGCATACACATGAACACGGTCTTAAAAATAAAACATCTGCACCTGCAAAAAAAAAATCTAAAAGTTCATATCCATGCTCTATAGCCTTTAACCATAGACAGGATTTAAAGGAATCGTCTATAATGATACCACGGAAGCCCTGCAGAAGTGGAGGATTTAGCATAAGTACCTTGCAATAGTTTCTACTCATACAGATATCTGTGTAAAAGCATCCATCTCCCGGAGCTAGTTTTTCAGATCCCACAGAATTGCATATTCAGCAATTTATAAATAACTCCCAGTTCCGAAACAATGAAAATTCTAAAGTAAATAACATTTCTAGGCAGAAGCAAACAGTACACAATTTAAAGAAAATTCCCCAATGACTTCAAAGAGTAAGAAATATTTACCTTCAAGAAATCACAAAAGCAGCACTTAAATAATTGGTTTGGAAGACTGCTGATTTTTCCCATTGCTTCTGAAGTGCAAAGTCTGGAAATGAATTGGTTAGCAGGAATAATGAGGCAAAAAGAAATCCAGAGAGATGGGAGATGTTGAGAGCAATGTCACATTTCAATTTTGAGGACTTTATTCCATTGCGCAGGCTCTATCTGCTCTGAATTTAGCAGTGACAGTGAGATTTAGCAAACAGAAGAGGGATTTAGAGAAAATCCTCACATTTATCTACAAAACACAGACACTGTAGACAGGAAACAGCTGGGGGAACATTTGCCTTCTCTCTCTCTCCCTCTTCTGGCAAAGTTATCGAGTAAGGACTTTTTTGGGCATGGTGACAAATAACATCATACCTTTGCATTTTAAAACTAGAGCACAGAAGCATTTTTTTCCCTTAAAAGAATGTGTGTTAGTGACAGGGTTAGCAGACATTAATATACTGATGCTGCCATAGAAAATAAGGATCTGTTCTCTGATTAACTTTCTACTGGGCATAGAGACAACACATCTGCTAATACACCTTACCAGTATTAAAGGAACATACAATGGAGGATGGGCAAGCATTTTAATATTCCAGGGCAAATGCAAAATTAAAAAACAGAAATGAAGAAAAAACCATCTCGAGCAAACCTCACAATTTTAACCCTGAAACGACTGGGATAAAGTAGGTTGGAAGACAGCACTGGGGTGACCCCTTGTCCTAGTTGCCAAGCAAGGGGAATGATCTCATTTCCTAGAACCTAGAAAAGGGGCAGGCAGCGTTGCAGTTGGCTCCCTTTAGGACACTGTCTCATGCTTTTTGCCCGTGACAGGGCAAAGACTTTGCTAAGCTATAAAGCCAATTGAAAAAAGTAAAATCTTTTTCTTCCTTTCTCTACTAGCCTTCCTATCACCAGTGCCGCGCCCCCCACCCTGCCACTGCCCCACCAAGGGGAAGGGCACCTGAGGGGCAAACTACTTTTCCATTGCTCATATTTTTCTGCATAACTCGAACCTGTATGTGTGTGTTGTGTATGTGTGTGTTTTCTTTCTCCAATTTTTGTGTATTCTAAGTAACACCAGCTGGCTAGCAATACCCTCTCAAGGGTTATGATGTCATCCAAATCCCTCAACTGGATGAGTGGCCGGCAACATGGTCCAAACCAGCTGTTTTGCTATTTATAATGTATACTTGCCTTTGCCATTGAGAATGAAGTTCTGATCTTTTATCAATACAGTTTGTACCAATTGCTCTTTGGTTTTGTGAGATAGTAGATAAGAAAGTGGATTATGAAATAAGGTTGCAAAAGCCCAGATCAGACATAACACTTTCCCTAGATGTCTATCCAAGCTTGGTTTCCCAGGGTTGGTGGAAATAACCTGGACCTTGCATTTCTCTCTCGTGATTCTCAGGGGACTTGAGACTGACGCAACAACTGAAAACAGAGGTCTGCTGGATACCCTAGTCTGGACCTTTATGTTGTCCTGTGGCCGGAAAATTGTTTGCAGAGGTGAGTGCCCTCAAAGTAAAACCTGGTTGGTTTTGAAAGGGAGCTGGGGCTGGTCAAGTCTTCTGTGTAGTTAATAACTTATGGCAATGTTTACCTTCCAAAAAGAAGAATTAAAAATCTGGAGTTATGCTGTTTGATGGTGCATTAAATTCAGCATCATTTAGTGGGTGTCTGCTATGTGCCCAACACTTCCATCACAGTCAAAGCCCTGCAAGGGCTTTCAGCTGAGGGGCAGAGCCAGAAAGGAAAATGTCACTGTCATGTGGTGGGTATGTACTCTTTTAAAAATGTGAACACTGCACATGAAAGGGAATAAGAAATTCTCTAGAAAGACAGGGAAGTGAAACTCTTTGGGCAATCCAGAATGACGGATGTGTCATGAGAGGGTTTGGGGTACATGGTTGGGAAGTTTTGGTGGATATGATTTGATCTGAAGCATATACACATATGCATCTTCAAGAGGTGGCTTGGTAGAGAGCCACAGGTGTGTGGGCACTTCCTGTCCTTACATAATAATCCAAATCTTCCTTTAATGAGCTCCTCTTCGTGCAGTTAATTAATGACTTGATTTACCAAAAATCTTTTCTGCAGCCTTTGTGGATCATGCCCATTGTGAAAAGCAAAGTCCATCCTTTCGTGGACTATAATGACGTAGATTGTGTTAAACCAAAGAACTGTACCTATTGCTCCAGTAGAAAGAAACGCACTTTCCAAGGGCGCACTCAGGTGTTGGCTGGAGTCTTGGTGCTGGGAGCCTTGCTTTACTGCTGTGCACCTTCACAGGTGAAGGCCAGGAGGTTCCTGTTGCAGTTTTCACATATTTTAATCTCTCCAAGACGTCCTAGAAGCTCACTGCATTTCTCCAAGGCTGTCACCCAGTCTGATGTACTCTCTTGGTATACACTGTGCACAGATCACCTTATCCCCAATCGTTTCATGTGAAAGGTTGTTTGGGATACAGAACACATATTGTTCCATCGGACATTGTGCTCCTGCGATATCGACACACTGACTCACAGTCTCTTGGTTTTATAACCCCAATTACCCTTAAAGGATAATTGGGTTTTAATTTATGTCCCAGTTTTTATGTTACAATCAAAGAAAACTGAAATTTCAGTGAGTCGTAATTATCATCAGCTGTGCTGTGGAAACATTCCGATGTGAGCTCTCAGTTTCCAATAGGGAAAGCAATTTCCTGAAGTGATTATTGTAGACTTCGATGTGGAGAATGGTCTGTATTTCTGGGTAGGGTGAGCCGGCGATAGAGCAGGGCAATAATTCCTAGAGACATAGCCATTTTCTTTGCTAATTCCAGGAGTCAGTCTGAAAGGGAAAGGGGCAATAAATGTGCCACATGATTACCTTTTAATAACTGAGAGCTGTAGCTGTTTAGGAGAAAAAGAAATGAAATGTATCTATTACTAGACAGACCAAGATGGTAGTAAATCTAATCCCAGAAAAAGTTCAGGTCATGCGGTCCCACTGGGAGAGAAACATACAGGGTCATTCTAAAATTACTGGATCATTATGTAGTCTCCTGCCCAGAACAATCTGACAGTTAGGTATGGGAATTGTGTACCACCAAAATAGCTTACTGCAAGGATGCGTTCATCATGAAAATATCCACTCCTGGAAATTCAGAGATTCACAGTTTCACCTTTTGTATGTGTAATGCCTGTGAGATATAAATAACTCTCCCCTAAAGCCGGCTTCTTGAGTAGCGTATTTGCATAAACTGCAGCCTCAGAAGACTTCTGACACCTCTGTTAAAGAAAAAAAGAAAGAAAGAGAGAGAAAGGAAGAAAGAAAGGGGGAAGAAAGTTGTTCATCTCTTGAAAGAACAGGCTGATTGAGATTCACAGAAAGGGGTGGGCAAGGCCCAGCCTTCACTCTTTTTGCTGAAGCCCTGTTCCCAGAGGTCCCCATGTCAACTTCAGAGGAGCTCATCCAAAAGGCAACTTCATATCTATGGGCACTAGGGTGTATATACTAACAATTTATTTCATTAATGTCTTTGCTAATAAAGCTCAGGGTGGATATTTAGAGGGAAGGGGACTTTGGGATAAAGGGTGAGGTCCAAGGTTCTAGGGCCATCCACAAGGCAAAGAATATAGGGAACTCCTGGATGTATGTCTTGGATTATGATTTGTAAGGACAGTTGGTCTGGGAGTGTATTCTGCAGCGTTTGAAATCAAGGCCTTGTTAAGCCAGAATGTAAAATTCAGAGAAAAAGGCCGGACCTCAAAAATACAACGTGCTGCTGACAAGGGCACCAATGTCAGCTCCGAAAGATCTCATAAAGAGCTCTGTTACTCCTCAGAAAGATCTTTAGCTCAAAGGAGCTGCTTTAAATCCTTAGAGGAGCATTTTCCCCACAGCTAGGGAAAACGGTAATAGGGAGAAGAAATCTTCTCACTAAATAAATCAGTGCTTTCTTTTCAACATTAAACTTGGATCTTATTTCTTCTAAAATGTCAAAAGGGTAAATGCTGAAAACAGTCAGAAGCAAAACTGTTGTGGTTTGGGGAGTGAAAGAATTCTTCGTAATGGCAGACAAGGAAGGAGTCACTGCATGGGTCGAGGATGGTTTAGTGGAGTGAGAGAACCTGAGGGCTCGCCACAAATACCCCAAGTTGAACAGAAAGTGGGGAAAGGAGACACCAATTCCAAAGTTCAGGGTAGTACCTAGATACGCACTTTCTTTCGAAATCGAAAAAAATGTGCGCGCCGCCTAGTGGCCTGCGGGGAAACTGCCACGGCAATCTTCATGGTTAATGTGTGTATGGGAGGAATGGGGCGTTTTGAAAAACTTTGGATTCAAATGTACTTTAAGATGCACTGATGTTTAATCTTTTCATCTGTTTGAAATAAACAAACTAGGTATTTTATTTGCTGTAATTTTTAAAAGGGGAAGAGAGCTAAGGGGAGAAAGAAAGATGATAACTCAGCGAGGGTGCAAATGTCTTCCCCGTGGTTGCAGTCCCAAAGCTGAGCTTCTGGTATGAGTTCAAAACATTTTGTTGATTTAATGAAAGTCTGGAAAATAAGTGATGTTAAAAATAAAACTATTTCACGTGAAAACTATCATAAGCTCTCTTGAGAGTGAAAAAGAAAAATGAAGGGTGGGGCATTGATGGATAGAAAAGTGACTTGTTTAATGAAACAAAATGCAGAGGTTTTATCCAGAATTTAACAATACGGTTTTATTTTCATGGTATTTATTTTTAACAATAACTTCTATTTAAGGCAACTGATGCTGTTTTGAAGCAGATATATAACTCTTAAAAAATCAATTTAAGAAAAAATTGTTTTAAGTAAGTAAATACTATTACAAGTGACCAAGAGTTATGACTAAAAAAAAAAAGGTATAATTGGTATTTGAATGTCTGGTGTTTGAGACATGCTGTGCGCTGGGGGAAAAAGTACATAGCCACAATGAAAAAGCAGGGAACAAAGAAAAATACCACATGTATATGTATTAATTATGTATCTTGGTAATTTAAATACCTTCTAAGCTCACACTCATTTTTATTCTAGTCTTTCATAGAGTTTAAAGATGTTGAAAAAAGTTTGGAGGAGTGAAGAGCATTTGAGTTAGGTCTTGAGGTATGAGTTTACCTTCAAGATGACAGGAAAACAGTAAAGGCTGTTCTGGGCAGAAGGAACAGCATGGACAAAGTTGTATAAGAATGAGGAAGTTCCCAGTGTTCGGGCAATGTGGGGGATGAGGTTGTAGCCATGATCTCAGATTCCTGCACTGTGGAGGCCCTTTGGTTTTCTCCTTGCTCCATCAGTTAGCCCTTGCTTAGCTAAAAGACTGGAAAACAATCTTAATTCTCTCATGACCCCTTAGTATAAAAAGATTTGTATGTAGACAAATCTGTGATTAATTCTGGGAATGGCATCATGCCTTGAGGTACATGTGAAACAACAGACCTGGGTTACATCACAACATAGGTCGATTTGAGAGCAGTGCTAGGTAAGAAGAACTGAAGTGTCTATCACTCACTTAATGGTCATTCCAGAGCTTCCATTTTGGTGAAAGATTGAACTGTTTCTACTTTGGTAAGTACATTTCAGTAGAAAAATGAAATAATTATGCTTGATAAAGATTTTGCAGAATAAAGGTTGATGCAAAAAGGTCTTGTTTCTGATGAGCCCTGAACTTGCTAGAAAAACTTATTCATCAGAGTTTCCCACTCTTCATGTGGGTCAGTTAGAAAATTGTTGTTGTGTTCTTTGAGAGCAGGGAACACAGCCTCCAACCTTAATTCTTTATTTAAAGATGGCTGCTAGGGAATATTTCAGACTGCTTCCTGCCAAGGTTCCCTGCATAAATAGCAGTTTGAGTAATCAATTGAAGAGGAGATACAGATTCTAGGGAAACTCTTGGTAATGATCCATTTGGTAAGCATGTACCCTTGGAAACTGTACCTTATCCTCTGCCAAGCACAGACCCCTGATCCTGGAGTGAAAGTCAGCTGTGGAAACCTTGCAGGCATTCAGATATGTCTAGAACATACTTTGTTCCTTTTCACAACACATGGTGTAGTCCTCAGCTTCTTTCAGAGCTCAAAATAAATATTTAAACACAGTTGTACTGACTAGAGTTCTCCAGAGAAACAGAGCCGATAGCATCAATCGATACCTATCTATCACTATCTAAATTTATTTTAAGGAATTGGCACATGTGAATATGGAGGCTTAGCAAGTCCAAAATCTGCAGATAGGCCTGCAAGCTGAAGACTCAGGGAAGAGTTGCAGTTTGAATCCAAAGGTGGTCTGCTGGTAGAATTCCCTCTTCTTCCCGGGAGGTGTTCAACTAATTGGATGAGGCCCACCCACTTTATGGAGGATAATCTGCTTTTACTCAAAGTCTACTGATTTAATTGGTAATCTTATCTAAAAATTGTCTTCACAGAAACATCTAGAATTTGACCAAAATTAGCCAAGACGTATATATTAACCATCACACCCCTGGGTCTGTAAAGGTATACTCA